CCAAATCCCTAAGCATCTACATCTGCATCAAGAAGGGGTTTAACCTCTATTAGGGTTCTCAAGAACCAGCCACCAAAAAATATCTTTATTCACAATATGACTCTGAGACCGGACTCTACTGCCTTGTCTCCATCTTTGCTTTCCCACACAGGGCCAAGCATGGTGCTTTGCACACAGCAGCTGCTCAATAAACATTTATTCACTAAAAGAAGGAATAAGGCTATAAATGTTTGGAAGACTTGTATATTCTTTGGATAAAAGTCTGATTTTTTGAGGACAGAAGGAGAAGATAGGTATGAGAGCCTACTAAATTCTACAGACAAAAGAAACATACTGTTGAGACTGCTTCTTCATTCGTTCACCCAACAAATATTTATTGAGCTCCTATGCGCAAAATGGTTAAATGGTCAGCTATTAACCGAAAGTTTGACAGAATCCATCCAGAGGTGCCTCGGAAAAAAGACCTGGCAATCTACTTCCAAAAGATCACAGCCACTGAAAACCATAAGGAGCACAGTTCTACTCCGACACATGCGGTCGCCGTGAGTCAGAACTGATTCGATGGCTACTGGTTTGGTTTGGTTTGGTTATGTGCCAGGCACTGTTTCAAGCACTGGAGCTACATAGTAAAAGAGATTGACAAAGTCCTCAACCTCATGAAACTTACATTGTAGCAAGATAGTTAAAAGTTTAGGCTTTGGAGTCAAGCTTTCAAATCCTAGCTCTATCAGTTACTAGAGAAGTCAGGAAAGTAGTTCAGTGTACTCAATATCCTTACCTTGAAAATGAAGATAACAGTACCTATCTTACAGCATTATTTATGAGGAGTAAGAGAGAATCCGTGTAAAGCAATTTGCAAAGTACCTGGCACATGGTAGACTTCTAATAAATTTTACAGTCTGATGACTATCACCCCCAACGTAGTCTTATATTACTCTGTTAGCTTCTGTGGTGCAGTGAATCACTAATATGGCCGTTATAGCCATAGTTTTTGTAACTCCCACCAAATGACTGAGTGGGTCTATGCAAATGAGGTGCTTGTAGCCCACCAAGGGGACTGGATAGCTTGCTAATAATGTAAATAAGATGCATGGCACCCTTGTGGGAGTGGGGCAATGCAAAATAAGGCGTATGGAACTCTGACAAGGGGACTGTCAGTTTTGTCATCCTGCTAGCCTTAAAATGAACCATTCCAGAGGAGAGAAGGGAGGATCTTACCTCCAACAAGAAAGAGCTAGGAGTGGAGCGCGTCCTTTGGACCTGGGATCCCTGCACTGAGAACCTTCTAGATCCAGAAGACAGAGAAAGGGAGCTGTAACACAGAAGACAGCAAAAGATGGCAGTGCGAGGCAGCAGGAAGTAGAAGACTGGTGCGAGACAGCTATCAGAGAGAAAGCTGAGAACCTTCAGGCAGGAGGCTTACTGGCAGAGTGGGGTGCCTCTAGGCACTTATTGGTGGAGCTAAAAGAGCTTTGTAACACTTGCCCCAGCAGGGCAGAGGCCGGGCTGAGGGGCCAAGAGGCCGAGGGGCCACAGAGAGGCCTGCCTGCAGGCAAGGCTGAGAAGAGGCTGTCCTGATTGAAGTACTGTATCCTGAGCATTCCTGAAACTGAACTGTAACCTGTTACTTCCCTAATAAACCCCATAATTGTGAGTATGGTCTGTGAGTTCTGTGTGGCCACTGCAACCAATTATTGAACCAAGCAGAGATGGAGTGCTGTGGGAGGGACAGTTGGTATCAGAATTGGTAAAAAGTTTGGCAAAGGAGGTATGTTTGACCTCCGCCTCACAGGAATCAGCCTTGGGCTGTTGGTCTTGATTTTCCTTCCCACTTGTAAAGTTAGAGGGGGTCAGACGCCTCAGTCACTCCATTTGTACAGTTTCTTTCAGAGCGCTTATTCCAGCTGGCAATTATCTTATTTGTTTGCTTTTTTATTATCTGACTCATACACTCCTCCCGAATGTTCAATATTAACTAGATGACAAAGTTTACCAGGCAAGAGACAGAGCAAACAGTGCATAATCACTCTAGATAAAGCCCCCAACTGCTGGTAAGATAGGAATGAAGAGTGCTGCCCCTCACAAAGCCAACTGTCCACCAAGGCAGGATTCTAGGCCCCAAGGCCCACTGCCAGGAGGGGAGTGGGAAAATGAGGAGCTGGAGGCCTAGAGGGATGGTGTGAGAAGGGGAGACCATGTCTCTCCACTTCATATTAATTAATATCAAGTGCATTGAGGACCCTTCAACTGATAAAATTTGCAGCACGGTGGGAGTAAAAGTGGACGCTGCTGTCTTTTTCTTACCTGTCAATTGGCCACCTGATCCTGGGTGTTTTTTATAAGTGGCCTCAAGCTCAGTTATTCATGTTGTTTCCAGAGGCAGGGAGTGCTTGAGTCAAGAGAGCCCTGATTCTCAGTGGACGGGCAGTGATGAGCATCCAGGCATATCCTCTAATAGCCCAGACCCACTCTTTCCCAGCACACCACCTTTGAGATATTGAACTTGAAAGGATTATACATGACTGGGAAGGACCCGCTCCTTGCACCCACCATTCTGATTCTTGGGATTCACATGCATACTCATCAGCAGCCACTGGGCAAGGGTCAGATATACAAACACATCTGAGGCCAGTACCTGCTCAGACCTCAGACCAAAGGCACGGTGTCACAGGCTTCACCTCCAGTTCTACCCTCCTCTTCAACTCTCTGTCCTATCAAGTCTGGCCTGCCCTCCCACACCCTCAGCTTTTGTACTCAGATTCTCCTTCTCTGCCAAACCCATTCATACTGATTGCTGGTTAGAGTGGTCTTCCCAACTATCCATCTGGGTATCTCCCCAAGAAGTTAACCCTCTCAGATTATCACCTTTATCCAGTGTACCATAGCCTATGGGGACATGTCACACCCACCCCTGAGCCTACCCTAGGCCCCAGGCTCCAAGTTCTCTGATCCCTCATCTGGGATTAGATTCCATGTGCCAAGCACAAAGCTGTAGCAAGTTCTCAGTCAGTGGTTCATAACTAAAATTAAACAAACAAACAAACATAATAATATTGGTTGGCATTTAATGAATACTTAAAACGTGCCAGGTGCTGTCCTAAGCCTTTTACAGGTATAAACTTGTACTGTATGACCCTGTAAGGTATGTCCTGTTATTAACCCATTTTACAGAAAAGAAACTGAGTCACAGGCTAGATAAGTTACCCAATGTAACAAATTAGGATATGGCACAACCATAATTCAAACCCCACAGTTGTATACCAGGGCCCAACTCTGACCACACTGCTATAATTGCAGAAAAATACAAATATGCATTCAGTCCTTGCCTACAAGAGGCCCACAACCCAGCAAGGGAAGTAAGCACAGACACTGAATTTTAGCCACAAATAACCTGGTATGTCAATTCACAGAAGATCATGGCTTTATCTTTATGATTTTCCTAATACAAAAGATACAGCCAGCACCATATGCAACTGGGAACTTTCCTACTAATAAATAAAACAGAACTGATATAAAATGAAACAGAAAATGGAGGACAATTATATAACCTCTTTTAAAACAGGAAGTGACTCATTAAGAAAATATTTTCTCATTCTCATATGGGTATTAATGGCTAAAAAAGAAAGAACATCTATCTGTAGCTGAGGAGACAGCATTTCTCACAACCAACCAAAAACAGGACATGATAAAATAGTATCATATCTGAAATCCTGGGAAATCTAGCCTAATATGTGCTAATTTGATCTTCTCTTAGATTCTCTTCTTATAAAACTCCCCATGGTAACATTTATCCAAACCAAATCCATTGCCATCAAGTCAATTCCAACTCATGGCAACCCTATAGGACAGAGAAGAACTGCCCCACAGAGTTTCCAAGGCTGGAAGCAGACCGCCACATCTTTCTCCTGCAGATTGGCTGGTGGGTTTGAACCATCGACCCTTCGGGTAGCAGTCAAGTGCTTAACCATTGTGTCACCAGGGCTCCTTGTTGGTAACATTTAAGTGACCCTAAAAGATAGTCTGACTCATTCTAGGAGAATGCTGGGAAGTTGGCAAACGGCTAGAAATAATAATGATCCATCTTCTCAAGGAAGAGATAAATTATTAAACATAATGTTATCCCATTTCTCTAGGCTGTTTTCATTCTCTTTGGCTGCATCACCAGTGATTCAGTTTGAGTCAGACATCCAACAGCAATTGAACAAAAGAATCAATTCAGGACCAAACAATGGCCATACATAAGAGGACAGAACAGACTCAGGCCAACACCACAGTACAGGGTAGCAAAACTAAATGACACATTCCTCAGACAATACCCAAGGCTCTCTAAGTGAACACATATTTATCATATTTGTAGTGATCCCCAGGAAAGCTTTCATAGCCCATCTAGGTTAAATGATGGGGCATCTGACAATATGTAGAGCCAGAAAGTCTCCCATTATCAATCCCCTTTAGAACCCAGGGCTTCTCCTTGCTGCGGTATCCAGGAGGGAAAGGCAAGACCAAAGCTCAACAACTTTCATAAACTAAGCTTTCGTGGCAGACACAATGCTATGGGCTCACCATTGCCTATTTCTTTTCCTCCTAATACACAGCTAGACTAATTCACTTCCCCTGCAGTGAGCTGGGGCCACATGAATGAGTTCTGACCAATGGAATGTGGGTAGAAATCATGATTACTTTCAGGTCTGGTCCCTAGATCTCTTGTGAGATCCTCCATGTGCTCATTCTTTCTCCATCTACCAGTCAGATACAGAGGATCCTGCAGAAGACCTCAAGTCTCCAAAGATGACAGAGCCACTGAAAGATCATATTGAACAAAGCTCCCTCTACCCAATCCACACTATACTGCGACATGAGTGAGAAATAACCTTCATTGTATTAAGCCACAGATTTTTGCAGTGGTTTGTTACAGCAGCTAGATCCTCTGATTGATAGAGCCTGCCTGTACCATGATCTCAGTGTGGGGGCATCAGTTAACCTGTGACATCCACACCTACCTTTGTCATTTCCAATGCAATCGATTATCAAGCAGATTCCTAGGGGCTTGCTCTGCATCCTGTATCTTTCTTCAGGAATGTGCTGGAAAGGAAAGCAGGGGGTGTTAAAGACTCTGGATACTGCTCTGTTCTAGGAAGGTCCCACCCACATACCATCTCGTCTTTTGGATATCCTTAAACATTCCTTTGGCAGGACGGTCACTCAATAAACACAGTCTGAAGTCATCACAGCTGACATTTCCCATTAGTATCACATTTTTCCTTTTTAGAGTAGTATACTTAAGACACACAAGCTACTTTAGGTTCTATTTAGTTTAACGAAAATTGCAGTCTCTTTCCACATATCTTGGCTTTATGGACTAGATAATGTGAAACAGAGAGAAAAGATAGGTCATATGTTTCTACAGTAACCTGACCTCAAGAAGTTATACAAGGGATATCTTTCCAAAACCAGTACAAAAGGAGGCCTTCTATAGTCTCTTCTTACGGAGAAGTATCAGCCTAAGAAAAATTCACAACAAATAAAGGTTCAGTGTCCCTGCTTACTTATATGCTCAGCAATTATTCAGCTGAGAGACAAAGTGCAACTCTGGAATTTCCCTGCACTCCAAAATTCACTCATGCAATCCACTTCAACATCTTTCTCTGTGATATCCAAGGTTCCCCTATAAAAGCATTCTCAAGAGAACAACACTCAGCATCCTATTGTTGTAACAAAGAATTCTTAATGGACAGATATTTTTAAAGAAGTCAGTGATCTCAGCAGATAGTGTGGGTACAAATACAAATCAGATCATTCTGTACCTGAGGCAAAAACGTTCCTGATTCCTGAATGGATGTCTTCACTGGTTCTCCTGGAAGACGAGAGACAAATCATTCACAAAGCTGAAGGAAAACTAAGCCCACTTCCTGCTGGCTGAGTTTCTTTATATCACAAACTGTTCTCATGCCGTATTTTATTCCACTATCTCTTCTTTTCCTAGCTATACTCACACTGAAGAACTTAACTGATAAGAAAACATGGTTCAGTGGTTAAGAGCTTGGCTGCTAACCAAAAGGTCGGCAGTTCAAATCCACCAGTCGCTCCTTGGAAACCCTACAGGGCAGTTCTACTCCGTCCTACAGGGTCCCTATGAGTTGGAATCAACTCGATGGCAACAAGTTTGGTTTGGTTTATGCTCAACAGAGGTTATACAGAAAAAGTGTTTAAATAGCAAATGAGAAGAAGCCTCTCTCTCACCTTCTCCAGGATAAATGCCAGGTGACTGACGGGTCTTTAACCTTAAGCGATGGATCTAATAACTTCCAACTCGTTGCCGCTGAGTAGATTCTGACTCATAGTGACCCTATAGGACAGAGAGGAACTGTCCCAGAAGGTTTCCAAGGAGCAGCTGGTAGATTCGAACTTCTGACCCCTTGGTTAGCAGCTGTAGCTCTTAACCACTAACTTCATCACCCCACAATATCATCAGCTTTCTTATGTGCTGAAACTGTGTATAATGCTTAGAGAGGGCAGAGAAGAGAAAGTTTCCATGCATTTGCTATTAATAGGACAGATGGCCGTGTTTGCTTAGTCCAGTGATATTGCAAGATCATAAAATAAAATGGCAATGGAAAGATAGGGAACAGTGAGGCTGGCAAATGTAGAAAAGCCTAAAGCAAATTTCATTGGATAAAAATGAGGTGAGGTGGAGGAACCACCAGTTCTGAAGCCATAAAGGGCTGGCTCAAACCCTAGCACCATCACTGACCAGCTCTGTGATCTTAGGCAACTTACTTTCTTGAGTCTCAATTTTTCATCTTTATATGAACATACTAAACTCTACCACACAGGATCATTGCAAGAATGAGAAATAATGTTTAAATACCAGCCAAGAACATGCCAGTATTGGTAAGGTTTTGGGGAAATGAGCTCTTTCAAATGCTAATGCAGTATAAGTTGAAACAGTCTTTTTAAAGGGCAGCTGGCAATACCCTTTGAGTCATCATTCGGTTTTAAGAAGTTTATCTGAAGGAAATAATACAGCAAGTGTGCAAAAATATATCTCAAGAATGTTTACTGAATGACTGTTTATACTGGCCCCAAACTAGAAAGAACCTAAAAGTCTACCAACATGAAAATGGTTAAATAAATTATAGTGCATATAATGGAAAACCCAGTCATAGTAAAAAGGATAAGGGAGAATTTTATGTATTTAACATGAAAGGGTATACTGGATATATTAACTGAAAAAAAAGGGTTATTAAGTAATATGTGTAGTACTGATACCATGTACTTAAGAATATATATTTGTACGTGTAAACTTACATACATATTTTTTAAAGTATAAGAACCTAGAGGTATGTAAATTCAACATTAACAGTGGCTATCTCTGGTAGTTGGAATTAAGAGGAAATTTCATTTTTCTATATATTTTATATTTTAACAATCATGTATTTTTATAACAAAAAAAGAAAAAACGGAATAATCTGTGTAATATGCCTAGCTCAGTTTCAGGCACTTAGCAAGAGCTTAATGAACTGTAGTTATCATCATCATCATCATTCAGTTGAAATGTATTTGGAAGACCAAATAAATATGAATACTTGGTTTGATCATGTTAAACATCTACTTGATAAAGGACAAGTTATCAGAATGCTTTTTCTTTTATTAGTAAATAAACCAAGCCCAGGCAAAAGCAGGTAACTAGCACTCTTAACAGATTACCAGGCAGTGTTGGGAGACTCACTTACCTCACCTATATAATTATGATCAAATAAAACTTGCCGTCAGGGAGCACAATAGAAAGACCATCGGCTGTGTTTTTAATTCCTATCCAAATCTACCAGGGCTTCTACTTTCCCTTTAAATAGCTCTTAGCATGCTGATTCTCACTACCTCACCAGTGTTTTAAGAAACATGTTGTCACTTCAGGAATTAATTCACTCCTCAACAGCTTTTACTGGAGAGCAGAATATTAGGTATGGAGGGACAGGCACAAGCTGTGCCATCTGGCTAACGTGGGCAAAATGCTTCTCTGTCTCCAGGTGCATGCAGACAACATGGAGGCTGAGTCACAAGATACCGGCAAGGGACTTGTTACATGAAGAAGGCTCCCATCAGAACATTGCTCTGTTTGTGACCCCCCCACACCGCCAACTGCACACAGTACAAATCCCAAACCTCTTATAAAACTGAAGACCTCCTGACCTGCCTATCAATCCTTGTTTCCTGGCGTTCTGAAGCCCAAATCATCTGCCCTGTGGTGTAGGCTGAGTCTCAACCCTCACTTCGAAGAGAGGACCCAAGACAAGCAAAAGAAATAGACTTTAAGAAAATGTTATGGGGTCAAGTGCTGATGTTTTGAGAGAGGAGAGAGATCATATGGATTGAAATAGCTAGTGTTTATTGTATTCTTTCTCTCTCTCTCTTTTTTTTGGGGGGGGTTGTGGTGAGGGGATGTCACCTGTAGAGTATCCAAATGTATTAAATGGGCTATAAAACAAGAGCCTATTAACCTTTCTTCTTCCTGCTACTAGATAATTTGGTGAAAGTTTATGGCCTCGTCTTACAGCTGATGGAGTAAGGTTGTGTTTAAATTTAAACAAGCTAACTCAATAAATAACTAGAAATGTCAATGATAATTTTGAATGTAACTGCTTTTTATTTTAAGAGTTTAATTAGAATACGTAGATAAAGATATGGCAACATTTAAAATATGTAGGTAAAGGAAATGGAAACTCTAAAAATGCAACATATTGTATTTAAATTATCAAGCACTTATAAAGAATGAATATAAAGAAAAATTAGACTTACTTTGAATGCCAAGTTGTTCCACAACCATTCTTTGTTCTTTCCTTCTTCCATTCTGTAGCTTCAAATAAAAAGAACAAGGTCACACTCCCTGTTCACTTTTTCAGAGGCACACTATATTACACCTCTTTAAATACCTCAGTAGGATTCTGACCCAGAAAAAAGAAAATCAAAATATCACATTCACAGTTAAATTATCTGCAGACTAGTAAGAGTCATTAACTCCATAAATCCCATTTTATATAGCCAAAGAGCACGGCAACTCTTCTTTTAAAAAGTGAAGACAGTGAAAGTGTAAATATGTTAACCTAGCATATCAGAATGTTTCAAACAGCTCAATAAAATCAGATGCTATATTACCGTATAGATGCTATAATAGCTCCAAGTTAGAACAAACTGCTAGAACATGAGATTGACATTCAACCTGCTCCTTTAACACTAAGGCAAAGAATAGTATCGTTAACAGTGGGAGTTCTAGCCCATACGAACCTGGCTATGCATCTTGACCCTGCCACCTACTAGCAATATGATCTTGAGCAAGTTATCTAACCTCTCTATGTCTATTTCTTCACCAGCAAAATGAGGATAATAATAATACCTATCTTACAGATATATTGTGAAGATTAAACGTACACAAAGCACTTAGTATAGTGCCTAGTACAAAGAAAGTGGTTAATAAATGCCCAGTTATTGCTTTTCTGTAAATTGCCTACTTAACTAAGCATACATAAGCCACTTGCGGGTTTGATGCTTGATAATCAGGTACCACTTCTGAGAGCTAAAGTGGAGTTAATCAGAGAATGAAAGATTGAAACAGACCCTTTCTCTTCTCAGATGACAGGTCCTGTGTAAGGTACACATACCATATACTGTCAACCATCTGATACACTCAGCTTTCAAATGACAGTTCTCTTCTGAAGCTATCCTAGCCAAAAGAAAAAAAAGTACACTATTTGTAAAGCTGTGAGTATAGCTAAGTTTGTGTGCCTAAATTAAAGAAAAACATGTAAATTGCTTTTATCATTAATAATCACTCACTTGGCCAGAGGCCAATTACATTAGATAGAATTTGGTCCGCCACATGGATGTGTATTCATTTTTGCATACTATTAAAGAGACATAACATCAAATCAAAGGTAGATTTAAAAAGCATTATACTGCAGAGTCATGCAAATTTTTTACTCTACAGTATGTTGGTATCATGTGTCATGTAATGCTACTGTAATTTTGAAAGGATTTTTGTAGCCTGGTACGAGCTAATACCCAGGTATCCAGCTCCTAAATCTTGTGAGAAATTCACAATTCACATACCATAGTGCCTGCCTACTAAATGAATGAATGATCAAGGCCATAGATTAAATATAGGTAAATTAAAGGGAAAATTATATACACAGCACTTGGGTTCCCAACTGGCTACTTAGGCAGTACACAGGTTCACCTTCGTTTACAGAATAGATAACAGCATGGCAGGCTGTTAACTAAGAATAACGGTATAACTTATATTAGACAGACAATAGCAGAGAAAGCTCAGAAAATCTGATTTGAATCCAAAATCTATCTTGTTTCATGATTTGATTCTTAAAAAATGAAGATATACTAAAGTAATGGTGTGACTAGTATGTAGTTTATTAAATATATCACGGTGTAGTGGAAGGAGAAGGGACTGGGCCCAGTTCTGCCAGTAATTAGAGGTGAAAAATCACTTAATGCTCTTTAGGCCTAAGTGTCCTTATTTGTTAAATGAAGAGGTTGGACAGTATAACCCCTAACATCCATTTCAGCTCTGAAATTCTATTGCTCACCGGTGCCTCTTGCAGCTCACATTCTCCATGAAACTACTTATGCTACAAGGGTAGTTAATGTTTTCATCATACACTTTTTTTCAAAAGTGTTTATAATTTAACCATGAAATTTCACTCTGGTCTAAGTCCACACTACAGATTCCTATACCTTTATATGGGGATAAGGATGAGATTATGTCAAGATTTATCTTCTCAAGATAAAAGGTTAATAAAAGAATAATTCTGAAGATACATTGTACCATCTAAGGCTAACACAACCACCAAAATTGACTATGTGATATATATGTTTACAAACCAGAAAGAAATCTTTCATTTCATCAATCACAAAAAACTTTTGCTGAAATCATTAAAATAAGCTCAGTAAAAAAACGAAAGCATAGAGAGGTTAAGTACAAAGGTATTTATTGTAGCACTGTTTGTAATAACAAAAGATTGGAAACAATCTAAATTTAAATAAACAACAACAAGGAAAGAGTTAAATGCATTGTGATACATTTAGAAAATGGAATCATGTACAATCATGAGAACAATGATTAAATAGAGACAGTAGCATATGAATTATATGGAACAATTTCCAAGAAATCAGATCAGGACAATGGGCATAGTGTGCTACCATTTGTACAAAAGGAAAAAACAAAAACGTGTATTATGTGCATTGACTATGTCTGGATGGTTACATAAGAAACTGGTTAACAATAGCTGTCTCTGGGGAAAGGAGCTGGTGTCAGTATTATAGGGGTAGGAGGGTAACATACTTTTAAAGCCTCTTTTAGTATATTTTGAACTTTTTTGTCCATGGACATGTCCTACTTTTAAAAAGTTAAATTTTGAAAGGAACAACTGAACAATGAAAAAAACATTCAACTGTATATGTAGACACACATGTAAATACACCTACTATAGAGACTAGAAGAAAATACACCAAAATATTAACAGTGGTTGTCTTTGAGTAGTGAGATTACGGGTGATTTATTTTCCAAATTAGCTCAATGAATATGTATTAGCTTTGTAATCACAAGAATTTATATATATATTTAAAAACAAAGGCACATTTGTATTATAATTTTTTCTGATATTAAATAAAGTACATGCTTTGAGAATATGTATATTTTTCGTAAAGCTCTGAAACAGTTTCATGCTGCGATTCCACATAGTTGCTCCAGACTCACCCCTAAGTTATATGAAGCTTCCTTGAGACTCAAGTTTGGGAAAGATGCCTGGAGAGCATTTACATAATTTGTTCCTGCTGCTCCTTGAGCTGTAGGCAGAAGAGGGGTACTGAGTTAAGATTTACAAATTATTTTCAAATGAATCTTCAGCAATGGCTCAGTCCAAGGTCAACCACTTTTCTGAAACAATCATACTGAAAAGACACCATCTTTCAAAATACCGTAAACTTTCCAGGCACCTTACTAAATTTAAAATACCCAATCATCGAACATCATTAAGAATGGGCTTACAATGCTACTCCTGTTCTTGTCCCTTTATCAGACATTCAGGAGAATGTAGGGGGAGGGAGGCTTTTAGACCCCTGAGTCTCAGCCACGATCTTCAGGCTGTGACTCTATGATGGCAGTGGACTGCTAACAAAGCCCAAGCTGAGGCTGAAGCTAAAAGACAATGGGGGAGGGACGGGGAGAGAGGAAAGTCCAGTGTGAGTCTGGTCCCTTTACAGAGAGAGGAGTTATCGGCAGATATTGAAGATGCCCATGTCCATGGGGGGTTTTTATGAAACCAGGGACATATGCAGGGCAGCAACGGGACCCTGATGACAGAATATCACCCAGAGTTGAATGATGGTCATGCCAAACACTACCAAAAAGCAGCAGGACTCAGCACACACTGTAAAAGCCCTGAATGCCCACAGCTCCTCCATAACCTGTGTAGGAAATGGGGGTATCGACTCCTTCTTGAAGGCCAGGAGTGTTAAGAATTGCTTGGGGAATTTTGCAGAGGGCTGAGGCTCTGTGGTCATGGATATAAGGCTATGGAGCCAGCAGATCAGCGATATGAAGGTTATAAAGGGATATGCTCTCTAGCCATAAACTAGGGGGGGGCTTTGGACATTCAGGTTCCATTCCGTCCAGCCACCCAACAAATGAATCTTTACCAACTATACCAACCATGCACGAGGTACTTTCTTTAGACCAATGAGAGGCAAAAATTCTTCTTACCAGACTGCTTGTATTTCTGGATTTTTGTCTTCAGGTCTATTCTGTGGATGTTCTTTAGGCATTTTTCTAGTAAATCCAATTGATCTGGAGCAACTAGATTTTGTTTCTCCAATTCAACCACAAGATCCAGGAAACTCTAAGAGAGCCGCCAACAAGAAATAAATGTCAGTAGAGCTGACTCTGAAGGCACAAATGCAAACCTCAGGCCATGTGATTTATAACAGCAAGAAAATGTGACAAGATGAGCCCCTTCAGTGACCTTCAGTGACGCTAAAGCAGACATCTCTTTTACAGTCCACCTAAGACCATGAGCGGAGCCCTGGTGGCACAGTGGTTAGGAGCTTGGCTGCTAACCAAAAAGTCAGGAGTTCGAATCTACCAGCTGCTCCCTGGAAACCCTATGGTGCAATTCTACTCTGTCCTATAGGGTCACTATGAGTTGGAATTGACTCGATGGCACCAGGTTTGGTTTTTTTGGTTTTAAGACCATGAGCAAATGGTCCTTCTGGATTTTACTCAGAAAAGAGGTGGTGGTAAGTCTTTTCGTAGCCAAATGGTATCTTGGTTGGGATAGACACGTGGGCCATTTTGTGTCATCAAGGAGTACTATGCATGAGAGCAGTCTAAAAACAAAATTCTCTAGGCTGGTGTTCCACTGAAAAACTCTAAAGGCTTCTCTGAAAAAGGAAGAAAGAAAGTAGCTGGGAAAAAGATTTTGTGAGAAAAATCCCAATTATAGAGTGTTCAAGTTCTTAAAATATCAATGCTGGACATTCCAACTCATCTGACTCAGGAGGTCATGGAGAGGCAAAGGTCTAACAGGGCTAGGGTATTTTGTTACTCATTTATGCTGGGCCATAGGGATTGTGAAAGGACTATATTTCATAAACAGGCATTGCTTGTAGTTCTACTTCTCTTCTGTTTAACATTTGGTCACTGTGTTACAAATAAAGTACTGTCTTTATTTTTAAAAAAATCGTAATTAAATATGTATAAACGACTGGAAGAGAAGTTGGTCAGGAGACACCAAAAAAGATGTTCTATTTTGCACTTTCCTTTCCATTTTGCATTTAATGGTGGGGCATACAGATTTCAGAAACAAAACTGCAATCATTATCGAACATAAGGAAACTCTCAAGCAATGGCTTAAAGGGTCTTTAGAGGCAAGCCGACCACTAAGGACCTATTTTCATAAGAGACACCCAAGCTTTTCCTGCCCTGTCCTTAGGTCAGCAACACCCTGTAGGGCCAAATGGAATTTAAATACTCTTCTAGCAATCACAACATCCCTGGAATGATCAACCCTACCTAGTTTTCAACCCCAAATCTCTACTTTTGCCATTCCCCAAATATATTAGTCACAAAGACCTTCCCTACCCCCGCCTCCACAGGCAGCCTTCACGGATGACCTTGACTCCCTGTGGAGAAAGAGATGGCAGTACGGAAACAAGATAACAGTATACTAGCACCTCCCACCTATTTCTACTCAGCATGAGCAGATGGGTCTTCCTAACCCTCCCAGATGATCTGTCAAACCAGGGAGAAAACTGATGTATAAGACAGGCCCGTGGATTTTATAGAAATAAGGATAAAATCCAAGGATGGAAAAAATACTAAAGGCCACACCAGAAGATATTATCCTATTTCCTCTCATTTCATAAACCAATTTTCTTCCTATCAATGTTATTATGGAAAAACCCATCCTCTTCTCATCTCCTGCCTTCACCTCCAGCACGGGCCTCCCTGCTCAGGCATCTGCCTCCCTCTCTTCATACTGTAAGGAGCAGCCTCCAACTTCTCAGAGGCTCTTAGGAACATGAACCAAGAAATAGAAAAGTCACCTTATCTTTGGCTATTTTGCCTCGGCCTGTGTAATCCCTCAGGAGAAAAATTAATGAGGACACGTCAGATTTGTCCAAATCCTCACTAATCTCTGTCAACAGCACCCTGTAAACCAAACAAAAAAAAAAAAGTTTGTTTTTAGTAAATTCATATATCTGTCCTAGTGAGAACACCAAGCCCATGTCTCTCCTATGCCAATAACTGGTTAAAAGACTGGTTCTTGTCCACTGGTTCTTGGCATGTGAATGTGCCCCTCATAAAACAAAAAGCCTAAATCATCCCCAGAAAAGACCTTACGAGGACTCAAAAAGGAAGCTTGTCCTTACCCCTGTTTTCAATAGATGATGGGATATCTCTTTCAAAGTAACAGCTCTATAAACAACTCAGAGAAAAAAACTTCCCTAAAGAATCCCCTAACTCCCCTAGAAGTTACATTGAAATGAGTTAAGAACCTAAATGACTAACATGAAAGACAGAAATAGAATTCAAAATGACTTTGTCTTCTCTGTTTAACAGTCCATTTACTCCAAAGAGAAGCTGTAATACGAACCAGGAATATACTCAACACCTGGTTAACTCTAGATTAATCCCAGACCCTAGAAGCTTCTGCCCAAGATACTCAGTTGTTGCAGTCGATGGTAATGGTCTTAAGGAAGAGCGTCTCAAACTTGTATGTGTACACAAGTCACTTAGGCATCTTGTTAAAAATGCAGATTCTGATTCAGTAGGTCTAAGGGTGGGGCCTGAGATTCTGCTTTTCTAACAAAGTTTCAGGTGATGCCAATGTTGCTGATCCAGGGACCATACTTTGAGTAGCAAGATTCTAAAGCAAGGAAACACCTGGGATATCTTGTCCTGTTCCCAAACTCAAAGGGTAAAAGGCATCTGGATTATGAGGATTCTGACTGTAAATGTCTTTGTATAGAAAGCCTTTCCTGACTCACTCACTTCTGTCCCAGTTGGAGGTACCATCACACTTGATTGGGTCTCTTAGGAGACCTAGCAATTAGCGTTATTACCATTACCCTGTCATCACTGCTTAGAAGACCATTTCCCCAACTAGACTCTAAGATTCCTGAGGATGGGAAATTCTTCCCTCATTTTTCCCTAGAGCTTACCAAAACACCAGGTATATGTTGACCCACATAAAGCCCAATGAACAGATAAATGAATGAATCTAGCCCTCTCCTCCAACTGCCCAGCCTCTCTGCCCAAAGGACATGAGGAACAATCTCCACTTACCATAGCAACGAAACGGAAAACAGAGAGCGTGCCCTAACTTATTCACTGAGATATAGGCAATGCTCTCAAAAATTTTTAAGATTACTGACATTACATGATGCTGGATAGGTGGAAGATGATCAAGAATAACAACAACAATAATAATAAACCCTAGCATTTGTAAGTGCTTCTCAGTTTTAAAAAGTACTTCACGTAATAAATTATCACAATTTGTCCTTACAACAACCTTGTAAGGTTGGGTATTACTATTCTTAGCTTTATAAGTAGGAAAACTAAGGCCCAACTAATGTTAGTGACTGGCTCAGTCTATATGGCCTGTAATTGGTAGGTCTGAAGCTTTGAACAGGCCCTCAGACCTCAAATCTAATACAGTTCCCAAAGCCTGCACTGCATTCAGCTCTCTTTAGTATATTTCTTGATAACAAACATCATTTCCAAATATATGTTAGTGATACAACTAAAGGCTAGTGTTCTGGAGTAAAAGGGAACACCAATTTAAGGTTACAAGTTCTCTTCCTTTTCTCCAGAAACATAGCCTTTCCAGTGACTTCTGTGCCCCTTTGAGCCCCAAAGACAGTACTATCTGAACAGGAAGAAGGAACAAGTCAGCCTGTCTGAACTAGAGGGGATTCTAGCAGTTATTCCCTCTTTCAGCTGAAAGGAACTTTTTGTTGCTGTAAGTTGATGCCAACTCTTGGTGACCTTATGGATAGTTTAGAGCCTCAGGATACTGGGAACTCACAGGAAGGGAGCCCGCCCTAACTAACTTCCTTAGCAGGGCAAGAACCAATAAGAATTCAGGAAGGAACATACAGCTCTACAAAAGTCACTAAGTTCACTGTCAAACTTATTTCCTTTCTCAGCACCAAAAATTGCCAGATTCTGACATCATCGAAAAGCAGCTAGCAAACACCACTGCAGATCTCACACTGTCAGAGGTTGGCAAGAGATAGTTGTTCCTATCTCTCTTCATTTCTTGACATTCTGTCCTTCAGGCAAACACACACCATTCATCCCTTGCACTTGTATTATGATCTTCTACACAATTCCTCTAAACAAACACATTCTGAAAATCCAGATTTCAAAAGAATGAAGCAACATCATATGACAGTTGGATCAGTAGGTAAAGAAATTAATGTGGCTGCTTTTCTTACTGTCCTCATTTCTATCGTTCAGTAGAGTCTGGGCTGCCTCAATCCCTCCCACCATTCCAGCCTCAGGAAGAGGTGATGAATTACCTATAGTCCGAAACAAGGTGAGGATGCCTGAGCAGGAGGTCCTCCACTGCAGCTTTGTCCATCTTCAAGATCCGTTTGAGCAAGTCAAACCGCCTCATTCTGTACAGCAGCTCAGCCAAGCCCATGGCAGACAGCTTACCTCTCTCACTTAAAATATCCAGAAGATCCCTGACATGGGGTAGAGCCACATCTGCAGCAACGTCCCGGCACAAAAAGAGAAGCGTCTCCTTCTCGTCTTCATCAAGTGCCTCTTCGACCTGATGGATGACCACAGCAGACACCCCGTGCAGTGTCATTCCAAGGAAATGCAGTAATAAATCTCCAGTCCATTCAACAGAAAGCCATAAGGCTATTGACTTCATTTCAGATGGCTTTCTTCATTTCTTCTGGAATCCCTTCCAGTGAAGGAGTTCTGTGGTTAAAAAGGAATTTTTTAAAAATCTTCTAATCAAGGTAGCTAGGCTCTTCTTTTCTTGCTGGTCTCCCTAATGTAGATTACATTCAGTGTTAAGTCTAAAGAAAGGGATCCTCAGTAGTCAGAGCGACTAATCCAAAAACCTAGACAGACAAATAACCTACATTTTAAAGAATATGAAACAAAGAAAAAATTCTTCTCCAAAAAATCCCACGTGCTTTATGAGAACTTACCAGAATGGAAAACATAGTAAGGGGAAAATCACAACTAGGGAGTTAATGACTAAGTTGCAAATGAATGACTTCAGTGGGAGGGAGAGGAAAAAGCCACTGACTAAGCAGCTGACTAGACTAGCAAAACTTGTGTCACTGGGGTTAAATCACATTTTTAGTGACCCCCACCCTGGTGGACTTGAATAAATATGGATGTTAGCAAAAAGGATCCTCTCTGCAGGATACCACAAAGGATGGGAGAAAAGAGGTTTCTGTCCCTATCAAACTTTGTTTTCCAGTTGCTCTCCTACTTGAAAGTCCCTCCTTCACACCTGTGATCAGAAACCTTGGCAGCCATTTTCCCAAAAGTCCCAGGCCCTTTTCACAACTTCATCAGAATGATCATAGGACCTACCACTACAGCTGAACAAAGGCATATCCAGTTTCCATCACCTCTTCAGATCCTGAGCCCCCTGAAAGTACCAAAGGCCCCTGACTCTCAGTATACTGTCACATGGAAGTAACTGCCACCAGCATTCCTCACGGTGTCATTGGAAGGAAGGCAGGCTATGGCACGGAAGATCTGGGGGAAGACCTCACTCCTGGGACGTCTGTGGGAGGGGTTGGGAGTTTATACTATGGGTACTGATATATTCTTAATTTTCTTCCACTAGAACTCAACACATTTTCTATCAAAATTTGAGTTGCAAATGGCGGTCACTGTCTACGCTACTCTTAAGTTTTATAGCTATATTTAGGTTAAATACACTCTTGTGTTCTGGGTGAGTACCTTGTCAGTTCCTATGAGACAACATTTTGGGTTATAAACCTAATCTTAGTAAAAAATAAATAGACACACAACCCATCTGCAAGTTGCTAACTATTGCTATGTATCTGTATACAAGTATATTTGTATATTTATCTAGCTAACTTAAAGGAGTACTGTATCTATTTTATTTATCTATAAATAATTTCAACCCACAAAAGATTTGAGGCATCTTACAATAAAAATACATAAATAGAAAAATTTTACAGAAGAATAAGGGAAAACAAATTAGGTTAGAAAGTAAAAATGGGGTGGAGGGATAGAGAATACAATGCACACATGTAGGCTAGAAAGGCTTAAACAGATTTTAGTGGACTGTGAATTTGTCTCTGAGCTTCTTGGCAGCCAGGGCAGAAAGGAATATATGGGAAATTAAATAGGTCTTGCTATCAAACAAAAAAAAACAGATTGTCAAAGGAAGCACAGTTTTCCTGTAGCTCCTGAGTTCTCCATCACTGGAAATATTAATCAGTACTTCAGTGTCTAAAAGTAATAAAGGTACATTTATTTCAAAATTTATTTTATTTCATTAAGAAAATTATTTAATTTAAAACAGACCATTCATTCATATTTTTCATACTGGTCTTCCCACAACCACGCAAAATAGATGAACTCTTACTAAAAACAGACAATTTTACCTAATATATACTTGCTAATAAGTATTGGTGTGGCTGTGCTAATCCTGTGCCCATTAGCCCAAACTTCACATAAATATGGACTTTTGTGAAATACTAAGAAGTAAAATCTATTAAAATGACCTGCTCAGTGAAAGTAGAAAAATTGATATTTATATTATTTTTTAATCTGAAAAGTGAATGCTAATTTTATATGTTCAGGAAAGTCTAAATCTGTACTCTGCTTACAAGAGGGTAGCAGTATTTTACAACCTAATCACCAGTCTCCACGCAAAGCAGGTCAAGTTCTTTCTCTTTTCATTAAAAGCCACAATGTTGTTAGTAGTTGTTATTATAAATTAACCTATAAAATATTCATACTCTAGACGAAATAAAATAAGAGGCCATCAAACATACAAATAAAAAATGGGATATTACCCAAATTCACGAGACATGTTTGAAAAAGAACCAAATAGAACTGCTAGAAATGTCTAATTCCCTTATTTTTGAAAACAGTAATTTGACTATTGTAACTCATAATTATCAGTGGTATAACAATGCCATCAAGAGTTAAGAAAATTAGATAATCCTTTTAAAAAACATTATCTACTCGGTTCATTTCCACCAACCATCATACCCAAGACTGCTTTCTGCCAGTCACGCACACTCAGCAAGAGAACTGGCATGCTGTCTTCCCTCTTGGCTAATAGGGGCATAGTTTGGCAGCAAAATCCAGATTACTCAGTGGTAGCATCTGGCACATTCAGGAAAAATATCAAAAGGAAAACTACAGATCCCTGTGCTGAGCCAGGCCAACCAGATACAGCAAAATATCAATGTGCTTAAGCTGGGGTGGCGCTGGGGGCAGTTAATTGCGTCTAGAGGTAATGGGCACTTGAGGAAGAGGAATATGGAGGGGGAAGTTAGAGTTAAGGTCCAAATAGTCACTACTTTGTTGGTTAAGGAAATCCCACGTCAAGAAATTAACATAAGAATTACAGAAGGGCTGAGGAAATCCCTAAGAACTTCAGAGCAAAACATAAAACCACCTCCTAAGACCACTTTCACAACCCAAGGCACATGAGATAGCAAAGAAATGACTTCTGAGGAAGGGAAGGTGAGCTTACACTTAAAAACTATTCTGCACAAAAATAAAAATCACAATGACAGCAGAAACAAACAGAATGCACATTCTACGTCTGAAAAAGTTTAAAATAAGTATCTTTAAATGCTCAAGAAGATAAAAAAAAATTTCTGCAATATGATAGGCTAGATCCGGTTCTCAAATAGGGGCAATTTTGTCCCTCAGGGGGCATTTGATAATGTCTGGAGTTAGTTTCATCATAGCGACCCTACAGGGCAGAGCAGAACTGCCCCATAGGTTTTCCAAGGAGTGGCTGGTGGGTTTGAATTGCTGACCGTTTCTGGTTAGCAGCCAAGCTCTTAACCACTGCATCACCGGGGCTTCAGTGAGTTGGAACTGACTCAGCGGCAACGGGTTTGGTTTTTTTTGGTTAGAGTTAGTTTTGGTTGTCACAACTGGGTGGTGCTACCGGTATCTAATGGGTAGAGGCCACAGATGCTGCTAAACATCCTACAATGCGTATCTTCCCACAACAAATAATTACCTAGTCCAAAATGCCAGCAGTGCCAAGGTTGAGAAACCTTGCACTAGGTAATCTGAAAAAATTCTAGCAACAATACATGCAGAGATACATAGTGATAATACTGAATTCAGGAAAGTGATTTCCACTGCAGGAAAGGGAATGTGACCAGATAAGAATACAAAGAGGGTACATACCCAGAAACGAGCCTTGGTGGCGCAGTGGTTAAGCACTTGGCTACTAACCAAAAGGTCAGAGGTTGGAACCCACCAGCAGATGTGCATCAGAAAAGACCTAACCATCTGCTCCCGTAAAGATTACAGCCTAGGAAACTCTATGGGGCAGTTCTATCTTGTCATATAGGGTCACTATAAGTCAGAATCGACTTGACGGCACACAACAACAACATACCCAAAAGAACTGAAAGCAGGAACACAAACAGAAGTTTGTATACCAATGTTCATTATAGCACTATCCACAATAGCCAAAAGATGGAAACAATCTAAATGACCACCAAGAGATGAGTGGATAAACAAAATGTGGTACATACAAACAACGGAATATTACTCAGCCATAAAGAGAAATGAAGTCCTGAAATATGCTATGACATGGAGAACCTTGAAAACATTATGTTGTGTGAAATGTCAGACACAAAAGGACAAATATTGTACAATACCACTCACATGAAATATCTAGAATAGGCAAATGTATAGACACCACAGTTTATTAGTGGTTACTAGAAGTGAGAGGGAGAGGGAGGGATTCATTGCTTGGAGGACACTGAGTTTCTGTTAATGGTGGTGGAACAATTTGGAAACGAATAGCGGTGATAGTTGCACAAAATTATAAACGTAATCAATGTCACTGAATTGTACATGTAAAAAAAGTTGAATTGGCAAATACTTTATATGTTTTTACCACAGTAAAACAATTAAAAATACAGAGGGAACATAACTAAATTTGTAATACTTTTCTTCATAAGCTGGGTGTCTTAGGCTGGGTTCTCTAGAGGAGCAAAATCAGTGAAGTGTATATATATATATATAAATTCATATGGGGGCCCTGGTGGCACAGTGGTTAAGCCACCAGGGCCCATATATATACACACTTCACTGATGTTTCCTCTTCTGCAGAACCCAGCCTATATATAGAGAGATTTATTTCAAAGAAAAGGCTCATGCAGTCGTGGAGGCTGGCAAGTCCCAAATCCACTGGTCAAGAGTCAAGCTGGAGGCTTCTCCTGACTCACATGGTTGCAGGGGCTGACAAACCCAAAATCAGCAGGTTAGACAGCAGGCTGCTGGCTCACGGGGCTGTGGGAGCTGGAGGACCTCAAAATGTGCAGATCAGAGGGTAGGCTGTTGGCTCACGTCCCAAGAGCCAGAGGTCAGAGGATGGCAAGTCAGATGCAGGACTGAGAGAGAGCGCAAGTTTTGCCAGAATATCCAAATATATTGGATGCAGACCACACCCCCGAGGAAACTCCCCTTTCAACTCATCAGCTGTTCACATCAGATCACAAAATGGAGGATGATTACATAATATCTGCCAAACCACTCAGAATCATGGCCTAGCCAAGTTGACACATAACCTTAAATATCACCCTGGGTGACGAGCACACAGATGTTAAAATAAATACTCCCCATGTCACATTCTCTGACCACAGTACAATAAAATTAGAAAACAGTAATAAGCCAAAAAGAAACCCTATAGGTTTGAAACTGAAAAATTAGTTTCTATC